AAGGTTGATTACCAGCAACTTTAATCGGCTCCAYATGAACACCAGGGGCATTTTTTTGGCTCAGATCGAACCCATAAGTTGTTTATATTGTTTTCAGACTGAACCAAGAAATCAAATGGTTAGCAAGCAACTCGAATAACTCACATTTCTTYAGCTTCGACAACCTTTTCTAGAATGAGATGTGTCTATATAGCTTTTTAAGATGATGATCATAATAAACCAATATTGCTAGCTAAACGGGCCATTGGACAGCATTGTCTCCGACATATTATTTAAGCAAACGCTGAATTGGATAAGTCATTGTATATTTGTTATACACATTCAGCCATATTATTCCAAACTGATATCGATGGGAAAAAGAATGAACATGTGAAACAACCCTAACCCCTATATGAGTTAAGTTGTTTGTCCGGATGAGGGACGGGACACCAATGGGTTTGAGGGAGGCACAGGGCCGTCCCTGGCCACATGCAGCTCGTGCGGCCGTACAGGGCATCAAAGCTTAAAGGGGCATCAAATTGTCATCTATTACTAATTTTGAGCTTAAAGGGGCATCAAATTGTCATCTATTACTAATTTTGGGTTTAATAATTTGGGAATTGGACAATTGAACTTTAACTATAAAAACATATCCAAGGCGTAGTAGTGATAAATACTGAATGCACATCGTGAACAGGTTAACGATATCATTCCAACAACTCAATCTAATTTCTATTGTTCTTCAAAGTTCGACTATTTCAATTTTGAAGTCATGGAGTTCTCTTTCCAGCTGATTAACAATCATGAAATTAGATTCAAGAAATCAAAGATGGAAATCTTGAATGATTGATTTCTACTGTTGATTGAACTTACCGAGTTGCTGCGTGAATCGTATTATGATTTATGAATCTTTTGATCTTTTTGCAAAAAAAATCTAAATTTCTAACTGATTATTATAAAGATGGGTCATATGGTCGTATGGGTTACCGACCTACTAGGCTAAGGGACTTTTGTTATTTTGATAATGAGTCTTCCTCTTGTATATTGAAATATCTGAAAAGTGAAATTTTCAATGCACATGAGCACATCACTCTATCAACATACATGCACAACATTAACAACATATTATGATATTGTCTTAATTATTAGGCACTTGTTCTTTGCAATACACAATAACATAGATTTTGAATTTTACATTTTATTATTATTCTTTTGACTTTTATTTACTTTGAGGTTTGACATTACTGCATTAGATTTAGGGGGCGTTTGATTGGTTTTTTATTAAATTTTGTATGGATAAAGTTGTCTGTATGAATTAATCTGTTTGTATAAGTTGGAAAAGTTTTTGTTTGAGAGAGTTTTTTCGTAGATGTAAGGAGCGTTTTTTTAGTTGGAAGGGACATGTTTAGAAAAAAAAAACTTGRCTTTCTATATATAACTCTCCCTAGAAGCTTATTGGATAAGTCATTTTCTATATCATTAAGCCACTACGAAACAATCATGCGTAGTTGAGCAAATAAGATGTTAGTTCCATTAAGCTTATTAATCTGTTAATAGATAGGCACTTAGCCTTTAATCGTGACACCTATAACTTTTGAGTTTTACTTTTTACTTACTATGACAGTAATTTGGATGTAATTTACTATTTTAGTTATAAACTAATGATAGTTTTCCTTGTCTATTAAGTCCCATATATTGAAATAAAGTTTCTATTTTGCTAATTTCAATTTGGAAAAAGAAAAACTGGAAAAGAAGGAAACACGATCTTAATCCATGATTTATTCTATTATCATTCTATATTTTGTATTTAGGGTTTTGCTTTTATGTTCCCCCATTGTATTTTTTATTATAATTAATAAAAATCAACATGGGAATGAGACACTTAGCTTGAATAGGTTCTAAACTTTTTAAAAAAATCATATGTTTCATTGTTTCATTGGCTTAAGAAAATAAGCTTAGGGRCATCTTTTATTATTTTCGCATAAGACATCAAAAATCTTAGGACCGGCCCTGAGGAGGCAAATAGAGAGCGTTGGATTATTTATRAGGCATCTGATATTAATTTGTCTGAGGTGGCTTAACGGAGGGCAGTGAAGCTTCCTGGCTTATTCCATATAGCCATTTGGCTTAATAGCTCAACGACTAAGGGGTTGTTTGGTTGGTTTGCCTTCTCGGTTTTGGACCTTTTGGGTATTTCTTGCTTTTTGCTTTTTGGCATCTGGTGATGTTATGTTTTGGTGTATTTCCCTTTGTCACTTTTGGCTCCTTATGACTTGGTTTGTAAGTCAAAGTTGCCGTAGTTTCTCTTGCTGATTGCTTTTGTATTGGTGACGCTTTTTAATGTCTTTATAAAATTGTCTGGGGAAATCTTCCCCTTTTAGTAGACTATTAAGCTCATTAGGCTCTAAGTAAACAACTCTCTCTCTCGTTGCTAAACTAATTGTGGAATCTTTCAACCACCTTTGACCATGTTATCATACTCTTTAGCTATCTTCCAAAAGAATACCTAAATGACTGTTTACAAATTYATAATTGTTGTGGTTCTTGTGGWAAGTGCTAATTTTGATGTCAAATACGCAAATACGTGTAGATTATGGTTGTTCTTATGAGATTAATGAGTAAAATTGTGCAGTAAACAATATGCCCAAAAGGCAGGAAACACACAGCAGAGCACTGACATATTTATTCAGCCATTTCGTCAAACACTATCCATGCAAATACGAGATGACATGAAATCTACAAMGGGAAAAGAGTGAAATACAATGGATTACAACTTTTAAACCCAGTAAAAAGAAACACATAGAAATCTAAGCCAAAAACATAAAATTGTCTATGGACATCTAAAATACGGAAAAAGGTGTTCGAAACGGCGACATATAGAAGTTACCGACADCGTTTTGAGGATTAAATGAATTTCCGGCAACATTATGCTTCAAAATAGGGTGTTCTCATGAGCTCCGACGATGAGG